TGTGGGGTCGAAGTGCTCCCTGGGCCTCCGCTCACAGACATCGAGTACGCAGACGACATAGCTCTTCTAGGATCTGACCCCGTAGCAATGCAAACAATACTAAATAATCTAAATAATTCTACCTCGCGGTTTGTTATGCGCTTCACACCTGCAAAGTGTAAAGTGCTACTGCAAGACTGGGTGGGCTCGAACCCTAACCTCATGCTTGCGGACGAACCGATTGAGGTAGTGAACAAATTTGTTTACGTGGGCAGCTGTATCAGTCCCGGTGGTCTCACGAAAGATGAAATTCCCATCCGGATTGGGAAGGCCGAGCAGCTTTCGGAGCATTGCCCGAATCTGGTGGGAACACCGGATCGGCATATCTGAAGTACGTCGAATGGTAGTTGGGAGAAATAACTCACCCTCGATAGGTGAACTGATTACACTGCATCGGTTGCACTGGCTTGGCCGCGTGCTGCGCATGCCAGTCGACCGACTTCCTCGAAAGGTTCTTTTCGTGAAGGGTGGAAACGAGCCAGAGGCGGTCAACCAATGACTTGGCAGCGAAGTGTGAAAGCCATTACCAGCAAACTTAGCTGTCCTGGTCATTACCGTCTTCCTGGATGGGGACCCCGAGACGGGCCACATCAATGGCTAGACACATTGTCAGATATGGCCCAGTCGCGCCCTCAATGGCGCTCGCGCAAGCTAGCTATTGCCTTTAGTGCGCAGCTCCTTTTCAAACCCCCCTCACCACTTGACAACCCACTGACAATGCTGGATTTATGCATTTATCAGCTCGCATCCAAGCTATTGCCTTTAGTGCGCAGCTCCTTTTCAAACCCCCCTCACCACTTGACAACCCACTGACAATGCTGGATTTATGCACCAATTTATCAGCTCCCGCGTGCAACGCGCAGCTACCTATCCTCCCCTCAAACCATCGGTGAACGAAAATGCGGCAGCTACAACCACAGTACGACGAGTACGCGGTTATTACAGCTGCCAATGATGGCCTAAGTGGTTAGAGCGCGAATTTACTGACCGGAAGGTCCGTGGTTCGAATCCGACCTCCGCCTCTCGACTTCCCTCGTGTGGGCTTGGGCAGCCTGGCAGTATCCCAGCCCTCGTGCTTCCTTCGGGTGGCGTGGCAGCTAGACACTGGAAGGGTGCTACAGCTGAACGCTTTCTTTTCTGATGAGGATTAAGGTGCGAGCAATGTTTTAACTATGTTATGGCAGCGTTCGGTGTAACTTTCTCAATAGCGTTTGTGCTCATACATTATGTACGGTTCGTTTTTCGTCATTTATTATGTTACAGACTTCAGAGACGCGGCCTGAGAACCAATCTTCAATGCCTGTCACCACGCTCATCACTGAAGAAATGTTGACCACTTATCCATCCTTATCCGATTTGCCTGTGATGAGCCAAACTGATAGGATCGATTTGGTTTGGAATGATCAGGACAACAAAACGGTGTCATTTCCACGCGGATCGACTCCAGCGCATGTATCATCAACAACAAAGTCGCTAAACGCATTTTCGACTGGACTCATACCACCCTCATTTGGCGCCGCCGCTTTGGAAGGGTTCAACAATCGCTTTAGAGCATCAGAACCGGGCAATATTTCGCACTCACTGAATACCGGTCAGTGATTTACTTCGATAACAATTAAAAGGGTAATAACAATGTGATGTCGAATTAGTTCTTTTATGAACAAAAACGATTTTCGCCGAGCGTATAACAGTCGTCCAGTTTGGAAGTGTTCTTTTTTCAATGAGTCTCAGCCTAAAGTTAGCATAAGTTCCACTCACTGATTCTGTCCTTGCTGAGCCAAGGCCAGACGAGAAATGAAGTCTAATTATTTACACAGATCTGTTTGCAGTTGCCAGATGACCGTAGATCCACCAGATTCTAAGATGGAAGATTTTTTTGGGTTCTGCACACACTTTCCAGTAATGTAGATGGCACGAAGTTGAGGTTTTTTTCATTTTAACAAAAAATGTAGGAAATGTCTAACCTCTTGGTCAGGCCTGATTCGGTTCTGACACAACACAGAATGATAGCTGGTGCCGTATAGTAGGTGATTTGTTTCAAATGATGCTGGAAAATGCCACTTGTGACACCTACAGCTGGCAGTTTGATGTGAACTTTCATTATGGGAGCGAGAGGGATACCCCCTTTATCCCTTATCTCGTTGTTATACTTGATAAGCTTTATTCGCAACCTACTAGCCTTCATTCCAGGTTAAATGAACCTTATATCTTACGACTCTCCTAACCTATTTTAGCACGCTGGGGTTAAAATTATAGTCTGCTTGCAATTTAAAGGGTAGCAGCTTATGGATTCTAAATGGTGATCTGACCGTTTTACCGCGTATCTTCTTTCTAGCTTTTTAGACGTACATCCAGAAAACAAAACGTTTCTTTGGTTTCGTGTTCTATTTTGAATGCACCATTGCTTTGACAGTGGTTCGTATGTTCAATTGAATCAATACTGATGGATATCACATCAGTTCGTACGCTTCATAGTTCCATTGTCTGAAGCTGTCCAGAATATCAACAAGTACCGAACCGAGTAGATCATCCATTGCGACTGCCTCCATCTGTTCCTACAACATGTCATTGGAGGAAAAACGAACGTGTTTTGTACAGAGGTATCATAGATTGAAGCTGATCGGCAGGAAATCCTGCTTTACTAGCATGTTCACATGTTTTTCACAACCGTCTTGTGAAATCAACAGGTGTCGTAAGGAAACATCTTTTGCCGTGACTGAGGATATGGATTCAATCGGCACTATCGAAGTACTCCCAAAGGCTACTTTTGACTCGATGGCTTTATCACTCCTGTTAGTCCTCGACCTAGTCCCCATGTGATGCTCCAGGCGTCCATAATGGCACTTTATTCATATGAATCTTAAAGGACCACTCAGTTAAGAATACCCTCGTGCCGGCAGTTCAAGTAATGGCGAAGTCCGGGGATGTCTGATTGGAAGTGTTTCACTTATTTATTTATTTATCTATTTATTTATTTATTTATTTATTTATAGTGAATGTTGGCTAGGCGGTTTGAAGAATTGGGAATGGGAACT